CGACCGCCCAACGGTTGATCATGACCACCGGCGCATTATCCAATAAGGTCGAAATACTTTTACAACCAAACAGCCTGATGCTGATCAACAGGTATCTGCTGTGTGCAGTTGCACTAGGAGTGAGACAACAATGCTCTACAGCCGAGCACGTCAGACTATTGAGGCATTAGTTCCGGGAAGGGTCCCCCAAGAAAACCCTAAAAATCGCTGTCTCCTGGTCCAGACTTTTGAGTCAGAGGCTACGGGCGGGGTCCTTGAACGAAACCCTAAATCCTCCCACTGCCTTGTGGATCAGACTTTCGACGCAAAGGCCCAAGGTAAGGTACCCCAACTAAATCCCATCCTTCGACCTGGGCAAAGGAGAAGTGTCATTTGCCCTTGCAGCTTTTCGCTCACTGGCCTCCCACACTCCCCACCCCCATATAATACAATGCAATCAACCCACCTACCGATTCCCTAGCCATTGTTCCGTGTCCCAACCGTCACCCAGAAAAACAAACCAAAACAATCACCTACTAGCCTCGAAAGATACGATCCACGTTACAGCCTTTAACGTCCGTACCCTACGTCAGATTGAGGAACAGGCATCCTTGCTGAAACCTTGATTTCCCCTTCTGTCGATGCATGTTGCGTCTCCGAAACACGGATACAAGACCCCACCAAGATCGTGCTCCTCAAACCGCTTAGAACAAGCTTAGACGTTCCACATCTCACTTTTTCGGGTGGCTGATGGTCCTTACGCTATGGCTGGTGATATCTACGAAGTGGGAGCTGCATTCAGCCCCAAGGCTGAAAGCGCTTAATGAGTTGGATCACAGTAAAAAGTCGTCTATGTGCTGAGCGATCGTATGGCTCGACTAAAATTAACGCAGGTTGATGCGGTAAACGGTGTTTGCTTGTCATATCAGCATACGCCCCAACAGACTGCAGTTTTCAGGCTTAGAAGGACGAGTTTTAACGATATCTGTCACGACTGCTTCGGTCGGCAAGGACGGATATATAAATCCTGGTGGGTGATATGAACGCCCAAATCGAACGACTAAGTCCGGAAGCAGTTAGGTCGTAGATTTGGAGTTGATGCCGAGCGTATGGATAATGAAGAGTGGATCCTTCAGTTGTGCGCAGGTCATCGTCTGTTCCTGGCCAGTACGAACTTCCGACATGAAGCTCAAATCGAGTTGCTTGGAGGTCACCTGCCACAAGACAGCCATGGACGCAATTGGACTACGTAGCTCAGGTACCGATGGACAGTTTCAGTTAAGGATTGCCGTTCCTTTTTGGGTACGCAACTTGACTCTGATCACGCCCCGGTTAGCACTTGGCTTTTCATCAAAGGAGAGCAGACCTGTTCAACTTCGACAGGTTTCAGTAGCTGAAGAGCATCGAACTGATTTGGCTGGAAAACTACTGGCAACGTACAGACATGCAGATGACGAGATTGCTTGGAGGTTAAATGAAGGCGAGTTAAAAAAGCAATGCAGGGCACGTAATCGAACCCAATGGCAGCCTTCCCGTCCCTCGCTGGTCCGACTGTCCAGCTTATTTACCGGTGATGGAATCATATCGGACGATGCCAGCAGGGAACGTTAGGTCTAGCTACGGCACGATGCTGTGTTTCTTTCAATAGTTTTGTAAGGCATATGCATCGTCCCTGACAAGTATCCGTCCTGGTTGAGAGTATAACAAAAACTCAAGGAGCTGTCAGATATCGAGAAGCCCGGTACATCCAGAAAGCTGAGGGAAGTGCAAAACCTGTTCTAGCTGATGCGTGCAAGACTCAATCAAGCCTCGGGACAGCGAACCAAAATCGTTGACAAAAAACGAGGCCGCTTACTCGTCGAAAAGAGCGCATGAAACGTTGGGCTGAGCACATCCAGCAACTCAACTGACCACTTGCAATTGCCCAGTCACAGTCTAAACCCGCAACAGAACTCGGCGGCTTCGGAAAAGCGCAAATGCGCTTCCCCGCTCAAGCGCCACCGAGCTGTTGTTCCTGACGATGAGATCCTCAGTCGGTGCTCGTCTAACTTGTTTGTCTTTATCTAAGTGAAAGAGAGCGCCTGAAGAAGGGGCCCAAAATCAACAAGCGGGATTCCGGCCGGAAAGGGGCAGTGTGACATCTTCACACTCTGTCATGTGTTAGACGTCGTGCAGTCTTGATGTTCCTTGATACTAAAGATGATTAAATTTTGTCGATCGGTTCGTCTACCTCAAAATTTTCGCAATAGAGCACGTCGAGAATTTCACGAATACCATACAATTTACCACATACTTGTGGACGCGTGGGTGTATGGGGAGCTCTCGAAGTCTTCCTAAAAGTAGTGGTGCCCTATAAGGATGTCTACTCTCTCCAGGTTTGGGTAATGTCCTCATTGATGAATCAACGAGGCAAACACTGGTAGGTTTCCAGAGCCCCGGAGTTCGGGTCTCTTGGACCAGGAACCTTTTTGACCTGAAATATGTAGGAGAATTGGTTCTCATTTTTGAAAAAAGGAAGCCCAAGTATTGCTAGAAAGCCTGATCAGAGTCAGTCTTTGGGCATGCCTGTGAGAATTCAAGGAGTGCCATTAGAAGTTCTCGAATACTACATGTGTCTCGGGAGTTGCATTAGCTCTGATGGTAGTGTGATGGACGAAGTCAACGCATAAACCTTTATGTCCAGAACTGCTTTTACCAGTTCGCCCTGCTTGTGACATCAAGAAGGCATATCACTGCACCTCCAAGGGCGTGGGATCAGACTACAAAGCAAGTTGTATTGTTGCACGGGCGCCAGAAGTGGTCACTTCATGTGGAGGATCTGAGATATCTTTGGGTCTCCGACCATAGATTTCCTAGAATTATAGCTGGAGTCGATCAGAGCCGGATAATCCGCATTGACGTGATCAGCTGCGAAGCTTTTTCGATAACTAGACGTCATGGAACCCAAAGAAGGCACGACGGCTGAGACACTGCAAGGCTGTCCGAGCCCAGACAGGAGCAACCGATATACCGGGGTTGTGTTCGAACAACGGGATTTCCTATTTGCACCTTAACCACAGCTATCTCTAGCTCTAACCGCCAGGTATTCAGAAGTCGAGTTGACGTCCAGCTGAAACCACCTTAGAGTTCATTCCATGTAAGATTCTGTGTTACACTGTCGTTTCTGACCACAACTTATCCCGACCTCCATGATGCACACATAAGTTCAAAAAATCTGCACACAGTAGTCGGACTTCAAACAAGATGAGAGAAGCACTCCACAATTTTGAGTGGCTATCCATGGTTTGTAGGTGGCGATCGATCCATGAGCATGACCTTACACAATGTGGGCGCAACGTACATTTAGAAGGGTTAGTCAGTCTATCGGAAAGTGTGTCCCTTCTCCCCCATCCGGAAAGGGGAATGATCTGATCCACTCATGCCACACCAAAAAGTTCTTTCGTCAATAACCATTTGAACGGGCTGCCGCATTCGTCTCATCGTGTCGATCACGAAACTGAATAGGAATAGAGAATGAGTATCGTCGAGGGAGACCACTTGAGCTTTTAGATAGTTCCACGTTTATCCGCACACGCCCGCAAGTCCAAAATAACGGTCCCGTAGGACCCCATGGCTGTAATCCCCAAAAAAAGTAAACCGTTCAGGTTGGTCGCTTATTGTGTTACATGCAGGATAAAATGTCTTCAGGACTCCGAAACCCACATGTCTACATCCGGAATTAGCACCTGATGACTGGGCGGGTGAGACCTTGGGGCCAATGGATGAATGTGTTCTTTGGGTAGCAAACTTCTCCCAGCGCCTTCGGCCCTGCTATAAGTGTGATCAGATTGACATGGCTACATTACGAAATCAAAATCAAGAGTCTTGTGAATTGGATTCCAATAGCTTGTTTCCATTTACACAAAGGATGACCGGAGTAATCAAGCCACTGCATGATGACGAGAGAAGCCGACGCCTTAGAAACCCCATCCCCTCCGTGGCTTGTGAGAAGTAAACGACAGGAAACGGAGGTGACTGTTGACTCCCATATTTCTTTCTCGCGTCCCACCATACTGGGAGATCCAAACCTACGCTATCTCATTTAATGACGGCTAGAACTGGCTTAAACACGTACTGTGAACAGCGCTTTCAAGCCCGCTTTTTCCAGTTAATCGTATCGTACTTCAAACGGTAGTCCCGACTGGAGTTTTCACCATAAGCTGTGGCGAACTACCTCGTGAGGGCCAGTGGAGGCTGTCATTGACAGAAGACCCTTTTACAACTGTGGCCCGACCCCTTCATAGGAAGCTGCTACTCTTATTGACGTTACGGAGGACGATTGGATGAGGAACTGTTATCCATGGCGATGCATGGTTTGTTCGTACACATATTCGTCCCCAAAAAGAAAGTAAAATCGAAAAATCATTCATATTAATCGCAAAATGGAATAAACCACAAAAACCTGTCGAAATCGTGCAGTAGTGTCTGGCACGCATTCGGCGAGTTCATGTAGAGCTGCATCCACCGTATGAAGATTAAGACCCCGTGAATATAGAAAGGAGGAAGTATTTTGCTTGTAAACCCGAAACTGGATGAGGGTGGAAAACAGTACAATCCTAGTTCGAGCTGGATCGCTGTAGATTGTCCGCAGACCTAACACGACAGACGGATGTGCGAATGTGCTCTTGGGTACGCACCACACGGATGTTTTTTTCTCATGCCAGTTAGAGCCCTTGCTGTCTACTGTGATAGTGAATACGGAAGATCCGGAAACCAAATGAAGACGGTATGTCTCCGCTTGTGCACCCGGTATCAATTGTGGTGGTGCGTCCGCATACCCGTACATTTTGTTCAATTGAGGCATCGCGACGGTGCTGACATGGATATTACCTCTGGTTTTCACAGCCCCAAAACCTCCGCTCAACCACATCGTACAACCTAGTCCTCCAAGTTCACCAAACAAAAACAAGGGCACAGTTGCGCGAACAGTATGACAGCGTGTGGCCAAGCATAAAACCATCAAACGGCCTTATTAAACATACCGTAATTCGGCTGCAGAGATAAATCCATTGCCGTCTTTGTCGAACACCCGGAAGGCTTCCCGAATTTCTTCCTCGCTATCTGTGTCCTTCATTTTACGCGCCATCATGGTCAGAAATTCAGGGAAATCGATGGTTCCGTTGCCTAAAATATCGTAAATACGACAACAGACTGAAATTACCATCGGCATCGACCTCATTAATCATATCCTGTAGCTCTGCCTCGGTCGGATTTTGTCCCAGAGATCGCATGACAGTTCCCAACTCCTTCGTGGTGATCGTACCATCTCCATCCTTGTCAAAGAGGGAGAAAGCCTCCTTGAATTCTGCAATCTGTTCCTCTGTTAGTTGATCGGCCTAAAGCATGTTGAGAAGTGGAACGGAAATATCGACTAACCATTACACAAAAACAGGAGCACGAAAAACACCACGATAACCTGTAACGAGCCCAACAGCAAAAGTGATGTATACAAACAAATTCAGATCACCCTTGGATATCGTGTTTTTCAGGGACTTGAAGACCACATGTGAATTAGAGGATGCTCACGGAACGGAGGAGGTTACAGGTTCATGCCTGTTCCAACTTTTACAATATCCTTCTTGAAGTAATCCCATGGTTGCCGTAACTTCCTTGGCTTGCAAGTGGAGCCTCTTGGGAGCACCACCAAAATCATTACTTCTTGGTGCCACCACCCAGCGCTCATGGCCTCGCAGAGACACTCTTCCGGTTAAACCACTCCAAAACGCCCAAGGATCCAGAAAGGCGAAAGCTTGCAGCAAACCTTTGATCAGCAGCAAATCTAGTCGACGAAAAAGGGATGCCGAAAGAGCTACAAACAGCAACGGTCGAAATTTTCGCCCAAGGGGAAAAAA